GAGCCCTGAGGCACCCCTGACTTGACCAGTGATCGTGAGGAAGAAAATTCATTGGCAGTTACAAATTGGTACCTGTCGGTTAAGAAATTCCTTATCCAATTCACAACCTGACTATGTATATTAAAATAGCGAAGTTTTTGTAATAAACGGTTATGAGCTACCTTATCGAACGCCTTGGCGAAGTCGATAAATATGGCATCTATTTGCGATGAGTCATTAACAGCTTCGTAAATGTCAGAGACCAGCTCGAATAACTGCGTCTCGCAGGAGCGACCCTGTTGAAAGCCGTGCTGGTTGCTGAAAAGATGGTTGTGCTTTGTTAGGTACTTCATGATTGCCGAAGATATGATATGCTCTAATAATTTACATGGTATACTGGTCAGCGAGATTGGTCTGTAGTTGGTGACAGATGACGGGTCTCCGGATTTAAAAATTGGCACTATTTTAGAAACTTTCCATCCGTCAGGAACGCATCCTGACTGAATCGATTGCTGGAAAAGGCATGCAAAAATGGGAGAAATAACAGGTTTAGTTAACTTTAGCAGTTTAGGACAAATACCATCTGGACCAGGAGCAGAGCTGCTAGAAAGACGATCAATAGCAGCTTCGATTCCCTTTTCAGTGATCACGATGTCCTCCATGATGGAGGTAACGGAGCCGAGGTGAATATTGTCGGTAATAGGAAGCTCACGAGAAAAAACAGAACAAAAGAAGGAATTGAACGCAGTAGCGACTTCAGAGGGCGGGAGGAACTCGTTGCCTTGCATTATCGATATGAAACATGAAGACGACGGCTTGGGGTTTATTACTTTCCAGAATTTTTTTGTGTTGACAGTTAACATGTTGGAGATGTCATGGTTGAAAAATTTGTCTTTTGCTGCCTCAATTTCGGTTTTGCATAACTGCGACTGTTCGCGATAAGCCTTCCAGGCATCGTCAGATTGCAAGGTTTTAGCTCTTGAATAAAAGCGCTTCTTCTTGTTAATGCATCGCTTCACGTGGGAGGTAAACCAAGCGCTCCCTGTAGACACAGATATGTGTATTTTTGGAATGTATTTTTCTTTGAGTTCGATTAGCTTGTGACAGACGATCATCCAGTTCTCATTGCTGTCGCGATGCTGCATGCCGTTGAAAAATTCTACGCAAAAGGACGAGAGTTCGCTATAGATCATTTCAACATCTGCACGTGCGTAATCATAAATTGTTTTCTTTTCATTCACGCTTTCTTTACGCGTTAACTTGAATTCACAATGGATGACATTATGGTCACTGATGCAGTCTAACACATTAACAGACATGTTTGACGGTTCGGTGGTAAGCACAAGATCCAAGATAGCATCCCCCCGTGTTGGCATAGAAACTATTTGGCTTAAACCGTAAGACGAAATCACGTCAAGAAAGTCCTTACATTCAGCTATCCTTGCGCCGCTATCGGCTGTGCCCGTCCGCCAGTTTATTCCAGGATAGTTAAAGTCGCCCGCGAGAATCACAGGAGAGCCAGGAAATCTGTCATATACGAGGCTCAATGATTCGTTTAGGCAATTAACGAAGGTTTCTTTTGAGTCAGGCGGACGGTAACAAACCCCAACGGCACAAGTTACACATGAAAGCTGGACCAATACCCACAAAATTTCAATACAGGAACCCGTATCAAGCAGACGCGCTTGAAGATCTTTTTTTACTGCAATCATAACACCACCTCCTCGTGTTTCCGTTCTGTCCTTTCGAAACAGGATAAAGTTTTTAGTAAAAGACAATTCATGGTTACACACGTCACTCGTCAGCCATGTTTCAGTTCCCACTATGATGTCTGCCGAGCAGGATTCGACAAACGCACAAAGGTGATCTTGTTTTCGAAAAATACTTCTAAAATTAGCTATAATAATAGATAGCTTTTTAACTTCGGTTTCAATGGGGCGTCATTCATAAATCGCGGGAGCGTCTTGTCTCGGGATGGGGACCACTTTATTGCTCGAGGAATCGACGGTGAAAATTACGTTGCCCATTATAAGCTTGTCAAACTGCAACTTATACTTCTCATTTTTCTGTCGCTTCGCACGCGCAAAATCACGAAGCGTTTTTCTAATTAGCTGCACACGAGGTGAAAAATCCTCCTCGATCCACACTCGCGGGGTTGCCAGGTCTTTCAGCTTGAACGCATTTTTCAGAATATTGCTTTTGTCCTTGAAGTTTAGGAATTTGACAACAACAGGTCGAGTGCGATCGGGTTTGCGTTGCCCGACCCGATGGGCTCGCTCAATTTCACCTGGTTGAATTCCCAAGTTTTCCGTGACGAATTCATGAATGAGTTTTTCTGTATCGCTCCATTTTTCAGCGGCTTGCTCAGGAACACCCTTGAACACGAGATTATTGCGCCTCATTCGATTGTTCAGGTCATCTACAACAAGGTTGGCTTGATGGGTCTGTTTTTGCTCAATGGTTTTCAACTGTTCCTGAGACTCTTGCACAACAGAGCCGACAGCCTTGACGCTTTCACTTAAGTTGTCAACGCTCTCAAGACGCTCCTCTATTTTGGAGAGCCGCCTTTTGAGGTCTGTTACAGTAGTGTGAATGTCTTTTAGCTTGTTCGTCACTTCCTTTTGAAAACGTTCATTTGAAGCAGTGAATTCCTTTACCAGTGCCACCACTTGGTCAACCTTGTCAGGACCTGGATTAAGCTCAACGTCGCCCGCACAAATGAGCAAATGAGCAAGCGAAAAAAACACAAGCACTAGGCGTCCACCCAGCAAGTGACGGCGACCTAATGAACACGGACGGAGCCACAAAAGATTACATGATCCCGTATTTTTTCTCGGCTGAGTGAAACAGCCGATGCGAGCGCGGTAAGTGCACAAATCAATACCCATACTTAGTCATACATAGACAGTGTGCAATTGGGACAGTGTGCAATAGACAGTGTGCAATTGGGGGATATGCAGCCAGTTAGAAGTTCAGCAAGGGCAAGCAAGTAGCTACACACTCACCTAGAAAACAGCACGTTATTAGCTTGAGGCTTTGGCTGCAAATCCCCACTCGGTCGGCGTGAGCGATCCTTTTTACGGCGGGGCTGAACTGAGGGTGCTTGAAGCGATGAGCAGTCGAAGCGGTAAGCAATGGCAGCGCCGGTGTGGTGCTGATTGCCTCAGATGAAGTGGTGATTGCCAGTCACGGTGCAAGGTAAAGGGGGACGCCACGTGTCCGGTGGCAACTGCGTCCGGTGGCAACTGCGTCCGATGACCTAGAAAACAGCACGTTATTAGCTTGAGGCTTTGGCTGCAAATCCAGTTAGGAGTCATCTCATTGATGTTTATAATCTGAGAGACTGCTTGATGGATTTGAGTGGTGGAACTCTTGTACTTCAAGTTCTCAGTCTGCCAATAACGTTTGGCATATCATGTGCCTTGCAAAGCAGGAACAATTTCGGCACATTTATCTCATTGTCTTTGATAGCACAAGCTAAAATGACGCGATGTGTGGCCTGCATGTGGTTTTCAATCAGGACTCTGCTTTTACACAGCAGCCTATTAACATAGTTGAGAACTTCATTCTCCACAAGACAAAACTTGCCTTATTTCAGCTGTCTACATGTGTGGTGATCCTTTTCTGTAGTGTAAAGTTTTTGTTTTTCCCAGTAGTTCGCGCACAAAGTACTGTACAATCACAACCATCCTACAAGTATCTAGGTGTCACATTGTATTGCGATCTCACTTGGAATGCGCATATTACTAACGTCATTTCATCGGCAAATAAAACTCTGGGCTTCTTGAAGCGTCACCTACGTCATGCACCAAAACATGTGAAGTTGCTAGCATATCAGTCCCTCGTCAGATCGAAACTCGAATATGCCTCCCCCATATGGAACCCGCCCCAAACATACCTCATTAACGACCTCGAATCTGTTCAAAATCGCGCCGCTAGATTCATTCACTCCCAGTACTCATACGACATCAGTATTTCATCCTTGAAAGCACAATCCGGTTTATCACCCCTCTCTGTTCGCCGCCGTATCGCCACCCTTTCTCTCTTTCATAAATTTTTTCATTCTTCTCTCAATGCAGCTCCTTACATCATCCCCCCGACATACATCTCACACCGCACAAGCCATCCACTTCAAGTGTCCCGTTATCGTAACAGAACTGCCGCTTTTTCCGCTTCTTTTTTTCCGCGCGCCGTCAAGGATTGGAACGACCTTCCCTGCTCCATTGCTTCAACCACCTGCCCATCATCCTTCGCGACAAATCTTACAAATCACCTATGCTGCGAAAACTAACGTGTTCAAATGTTCTCTTTTCCTGTGTATCCACCCCTTATGTAATACCCCCGAGTGGGGTCCTTAAGGAAATAAAAATGAAATGGAATGAAATGTGTGCTCAAATGCCGTTCAGCTGCTCGGTTCCCATGCTGCAACACTTACTTAAAAGAGCTTGAGCCTAACACCGACCATATAGTTAGCATATTGGCCTGTCGTAGCGCTCACACCAGTTGCACTAGGTATTCTTTGCAAAGCACTCAGCAAAGATATGCAATGTAGTTGTGCCTGCATTGTTTGGTTCTTTCTTTGTACACTTCTGGGCTTGCAAGATGCTTGCAGGGTCAACATTTGGGCCCACCTGACCTGTTAAGTAAATAAATGTTCAAATCATCCAGGGGGCTTATTTAAGGATAAAAATAATTTTAATTTAAGTGTAGGCCCATATAAGTTATGTGTTAGGATGTTCAGCTGGGTGTGATGGTTCGAAATAGACAGCTAACCAGTGCATTAACGGGATTGAACAGTGGGTAACTTGTTTTGCTACTTGATGACATTGTACCGCCGAAGAGAGTGCCAGTAATGTTTTGTGCTGTTTCTGTGTGTGATTCTAGCTGCATTTTCCAGCTGTCAGGAGAGGCTGTCAACAAGAGCCACATTTCTAACATACGCTTATGAAATAAACATCCCATGTGTTCACTATGTGTGCTTTTGAGGAGGCAGTTCACTGATGATTGATTTCCTGTCATAGTATGCTGCCCACAATCGTGCCTGGAACCTGTTTGGACTGGCAGTGAATCTGAGCCCTGTAATGCGGCAGAACCGTTTCTGCTTGCGCCAGGTGTACAAGCAACCACACAGTGTGCCCCTTGGCTTGCTCAACGGCCACAATGCCCTGGTGTCAGGCACCTACAAACATGCCTTAGGTAAGTAAGGTGTCTTTACAGTTACGTAGTTCACGTGTTTATTTTTAATTACATGTGTGGAAAAAACTGAAGTCTTTCCTGCCTCCATATTCACAGCACGACACAACACCACAGAAAGGCCCACAAGACATGCGTAGCACTGTGAGTTTTGTGTGCCTTCTCTGTGAAGCTGTCTAGTGCTGTAAATATGAAAGCCAATTTGCTGAATGCATTGGTTTGTGGTCTTTTCTCTGTAATAATCAATAATTAGCCCCTTCCACTGCTGAGTAACTCTATTGATGATTACTTTTATATGTGTTTTAATAATCAGCAAAATGTTTATAAGCAAACGAGATATGAGTTTTCTTTACCTGCAAATGTGAGCTGCACTGCACGATGTTGTCAAAAAATTCTCAGCCCTCTAAGCGCTTGATGCGAAGTGTTACCTTCTAAAAAGAATGCGAGTGATCACTATTTGGTACCATGAATACCTTTCAACTGGATTTAGTAGCGCACTTTTCACAGTATAATTAACTTGTACTCTAGGCCCCATAGAAAGCTTATAAAAAAATTATCTACCATGTCTAATGTGCTACACTTTTAAGAGCTTGACTCTATGCCCACAATTGCAGGTGCTGCTGTTTTTAGTGTACCACAGTTGTTCGCTTCCTGCATGGTGTACTACTGATTTGAGCATCCCAAATTTCATGTCCAGAGAGCATGCTGGACATGAAACTTGTGCACAGAAAGGCAAGCAGCATTAAAGTCACTGTACAACAGCAAGCGTTGTTATCAGTCATGGATTAACTGTAGCTCTTTGAAAAGAAGCCCATCATTCACTATAGTGGTGTGAAGGTGGTTGAAGAAAATTGAGCTAGTTCCATTCTGTGAAGACAGTTGGACAGTGAAGCTGTAAATGCACTAGTGTAGGGGACTAAAGCAGCTTGCTCTCACTTGGACCACCACTTTGTTTTATTTATTTCATTATCTTCCCCCTCCTCTAGATTGCTTGACTGGTAAAGTAACAACAGCATGCGTCTGTGAACCTGCTGATGGCGGCAGGTATCTGTCAGTGGCAAGACGCAACTAAAACACAGAAAATGCTGTCTGCACTGTTGCTATAGCAACCGACGTAGAACGCGACATTGGCCTCGACCACATGTCCCATTTTTTCAACCGCAAAATACGTATGCCTTCCCGGCATTAGTCGCTGCCATGTGGTAGTCGCATTCGCTGTATAGGATCAGATTTCTCGCAAAGTGCTAGTTACTACGGGCATAGAGTTTCCTAACTATACTTTAGAGGGAACTCTTGTGCTAGTGTCTATGGGAGCTGCTACGTGTGGCGCTTCAGCGAGCAAGGGAATGATGGGTAGTACAGGGATTTGTTTAATTTTCGTACTTCTGGCTCCGCATGTATTCGTGTGGCTTAAAGCTGTTTTTTCATGGAAAAAAAATCAGCAAATTTTCAGCGGTTACGCTTCATCACCTTAATCTTTTAGGCTTACCATTTTCAATTTGGGTCACGAAGTTTAAAAGGGTTTGTTCTTTCTTTTGAAACAAAACCATAACACAGCAATAAACGAAGCCACAAGTGCGATTCGTCACCCGCAAGTACGAAGACTAGGCAAATTCGTGTACTACCCATCATTTTCATGATCGTTGAATGGTCGCTGCATTATAGTCTCCTCTAGTTAAATTTAGGAAACTCTATGGCTACAGGAACGCGTTTCTGTCTCGGAGTTGCGTCATTCTGTCGATGGGTACCCATTGCTGTCAGCGACACGACTGGCGCTTGGCATTGCTACTTTATCTGGTCGATTGCGTTTCGAAAGTGTCTTCATCTAAAGATCTTGCATTATTGGGTATACTTAGCTCCTCTGTAAAAACTAAAGCTAATTTTATGGCTAGTGGTTCGGGCGAGGCATCTAAATACTAAAGTGCAGTGCACTTGAATGGCCTGAGCTGTCATCTCACATCATCCACTGTCATGTGTATTTTTTTTATGTACAACATACTGCAGACCCAGTAAAAGTCCAAGGAGGCAGGACAGAAGAGAGCAGTGTAAATAGATATAAAAAGAAAAGGGAACAAACACTAAGATTGAACAATTCATAGCACAGTTAATAAACAAGATGTAAAATATTGCTAAAAAATAAACTAGCTGAGGTCGGAAATACAAACAATATTGTAAATACCCATCTCATGTCATTGCCTGGCCATGTGTAGTAAGTATAGGAAAGATGCAGGATAAAAAAGTAAGGACCAGAAGGCCAGCGCTCGTGTTGTCCCTCTTTGCCTTCCGATCCTCGCCTTCTGTTTGCTTTTCTTCCAGCACTTTCGTGCTTGCACTGCAACCCTTATTATAATGCAATTTGCCCAATTTGCCCAAATAGCCGGCATTTCCTTTAAGGACGGAAAGTCTCGGGGCAAAGCATGACAACAATTTGTATTATAGCAGGGGAGGGCCGGAGGAGGAAGGTACGAAGGTGAGGGAAAGAAGGGGAGGGTAAAGTATAGCATAGTTATGTGTAGTGTAGTATTTGTCATGTGCACAAAGGCAGTTGTAAGCTCTTCAAGGTAAAAATCTTTAATTTGTCCAAAATTCTAGCCGCGTAACGGGAAGTCAAATTGCCGCAAGCAATGCACACTGTACACTGATATTGGTGCACAGTGCGTAAAATGATCATCATTCGGACATCAAGCTCATGCCTCGGGCTTTCCAGCCTTATCACTGGTGGTCGTGCAAGTCTGGAATAAGCTTTAGCGTACGCATCCAGTGCGCAACCTTAAAGGGACACTTAAGTCAACCATTAAGTCGGCGTTGATTGTTGAAATGGTGGTCCAGAAACCTTGTAGTGTTACTTTTGTACCAAGGGAGGACCTATTTTGAAATAGTCACGTTTTAGTGGTCTGCATCAGGTTAGCGCACTTCAAGTTACCCGCCTCAAGAAGCGGACTGACCGGTCCGTCTCACGTCACTGTTGCCGTGCACAGCGTTGCCTGGCTTTACTGCGCTAGTAGCAGCACACCGAAAGCAGGGAGAGACACAGCAGCAAAAACTGCCATTAATCAATTTCCCTCTATTGGCTCAGAGATTGTAGACGCTTTTGTTTCAACTTCACCCGCTAGATGGCACCACCTGTCCCGTGTAACCACGCGAAAATTGAATTTTTGAACCTCTCACGCAATTCTCCATAGTAACGTTCAGCGCTTCTTTTTTCCATGAATCCAACAGAAAAGAACAAGTAGCATTTTTATAGCATCTCTTCATGCACGGAAAGTTCTTTATTTAGTGCAGTCAGATCAATTACTAGTGATTAATTGTAGTCGGTCCGTCTAATGTCATCGGGATCATTTTGAAAATGTCCTACTGCGGCGCTTGTGTTCTTGTGCATTTACCTTAATTTATCGGTAAGTAGGGCACTGTTGTTGATAATAGTGTCGTTTTAGTTGTTGTCATGCATTGAGCTTCCCCGAAGGGGCGCCTGCGCAAGCAGGCGTTTGGTGTGTAGCGACACCATGGACCCGAGCTGACAGGGGAGTTTCGACTCCCTCCCACGCCTAGCCGTGCGTGGCTTTGCCGTGTCCGGGAAAAGGGGATCCTGGGGGTTGAGCCAATGCTGGGTGATTGGACCTTTAAGGCCCCCCAGTGGCGGCAACACACCCCTTTGGTCTCGGCTTCACGTAGATGGCACCCCTGGGCTGACCCAACCAGGGGAAACCGGCAGTCGCCTTTTCCTGTCTCTCCCTCTCTTCATCTTCGCCTTTCCCTATTACTTCCAATATTTCCTGTTCTCTCCTCTCTTCAGTTTACTTCTGTTCTTCCTGGCGTCAAGGGTTAACCTTGTGTGGCTATCCAAACTAGGGTAAACTATATTGGGTTATAGTAACTGCGTACTGCTGGTGTTGCGCAGACATGCCCACATGCTCTGCCACGTCCCCTTGTTGGACTCCGTGGTGGGTGGTAGGCGCCGTTACCGAAAAATCCACATTTTCCCATGGGATCCTCGACCCCGCCTCTAACTGATCGTGCCTCGAAAAGGGTACACACCGGCTCAACTTCCCTACTTTGGCCCAAAAACAGAGAAACTTTCCCAAAATACTATGTCCTCCACTGCGAACAATCATCTACAAAAGCTAGAGCAATCTCATCCTTGTGGCCAAGTGCTTGAGAGAGACCATTGGAACCAGTTATAAGGCCACAAAGATGGCAAGTGGAGATCTGCTTCTCGAATTAAAGACAAGGAAAAGTACAATAAACTCTCGCACCTTGTAGCCTTTGGTAACATTCCCGTCTCTGTGAGCGCGCACTGTACCATGAATACAGTGAAGGGCGTGGTATCGGACGAAGACTTGATGACACTGAGTGAAGAAGAGCTCCTTGATGGATGGAAGGACCAAGGTGTAATACATGTCCAGCGCATCAAAATCAGACGTAACAACAACGAAATAGCAACAAAGCACTTGATACTCACCTTCAACTCAATCACTTTACCTGAGACTCTTGAAACTGGCTATATAAAACTCCATGTCCGACCCTTCATTCAAACCCGAGGCGTTGTTTCAAATGCCAGCGATTTGGTCATACATCCCAGAGCTGCCGAGGAAAGCTGATGTGTGCTAAGTGTGGCACAACTGGCCACAGTGCTGATGAATGTAGTCATGACGAGGTCCTCTGTACTAACTGCGAAGGTAGTCACCCCGCATACTCCGGAGTGTGCCCAGCCTGGAAAAGAGAAAAAGAAATAATAACTATAAAAGTTAAGGAAAATATCACATTCAGGGAAGCAAGACAACAGATATCGTTATCATTGGCACTAAAAACACCTTTTGCCGAAGTGGTGCAACGAGGGGCGGCACCACAAAGGCCCTTGGCAGTTGCCTGGACCGCGCCTAGCGTGCCGAGGCCAATGCAACAAGCCCCTACGGCGGGAGCAGCCAGCGCTGCCCTGCCCACGTTCAGCCTGTTCACACCAGTGACCTCTACAAGCTCTGCCAGCAGCCAGGGCAATCACGAGG